AAGTTATCACGTGCCACGCACGTGACGAGCTCTAGCCGAAAAACTAGTCGCCGACAAGAAAAATGGCATAGTTGGTAAGTTGAATCAATTAAAATGTTTTAAAACAAGTTTGACTAATTAAAATAACTTCTTGATAAATGGAGTGGAATTAAAATAACAATATGTGTATTTAGCCTATATTAATTTGTTGAATGCTATATAGCCAAGGAGAAGCATTCCCAATGGGATACAACTACGGGTGGTCCTTTCTCCCCGGGAACAAAGAAACCTCCGTACCCCAGTTTTGACGGGCAATTTGTTAAATTAGGTGCGTTTGTTTATCATTTACTTAATGTATTTTAATCATTTTATCAGGGGAGACCGTACAATAATTGCTTTGATTCTTTCCAAAAAGGTGAATTGAAAGCAAAAGATTTCTTTTCCGATGGCACCATGACGATGACCATCACCTAATCCTCTCTCTTGGGTACTTTTTGTTAACACGCGCAGTATTTACAGTACGAGGATTGAGTATTCCAGTTGTTTCCCACAGCTACATAATATAAGCTCAATTATTTATTTCTTGCTGATAAAGGCTGAGGGTTTGCTAACTCAGCTACACTAATAATGCTAACTCAGCTACGATAACTATTATAATTTAAACAAAAGAGTTGGGGAGTAATACTCTTTACGGTGTTACAACCCAAGAAATTAGCAAAAAAACAGGCCCTTACCAGCTCGGCCCGGCCGTTTTGGCCACAACGGTCACTCTTGTGACCGTTGTGGCCGGGTCGGGCCGGGCTCCGGGCCCCCGGCCGGGCCCGAGCCGGCGGGCTTTTTGGATAGGCCTAGGAGGAGATGTACAACTGAAACAAGAGATAATATCGAACTTCCTTCAAAAAATACTTGAATATTTCGTATTTTTAATTTAGGCTCTTAAATAATTGAGGTTGCTATTAAGTCTTTTAAGTCTTATGCTATTTTGAAAGTATTCCCTCAAGTAATTGAAACTTGTTATGTTCTTCTTGGAAATTAGCCCATCAAATCAACAGTACAATTATCAATTAGGGAGATTAATTTGTTACAACTTACGAAAATTGAGGGACCTAGTAGAAATTTTGACAATTTGAAAGACCAAATTCATTCTAATCGCTATTTCTACTACTGATTGGAGGACCAATTTCAACCAACTTAAGAATTAAGGGACTTAATAATAATTTTAATGATGCGAGGGTCTCCGTCGTAATAGCTTTAAAATTTAGAGGCCTAATAGCAATTTTAATGATTTGAGTGCCTAATTTTAAAATATGAAAGATGTAAGGGACGAATATAAAAAATAATCCTCCTTAGTCAATCGGATCTCAATTAATTCCATATTACCCCTTAAAATCTATCAAATTGCGTATACGTAAGATTTTGTTTTGCAACGTGGTCCTAGAATTAACAAAATAGCTTTTCATTTATGCTTTTGTGAACGCATAAGCACTTGAGTTTTTGGGATAACATAAGCCGGGGGATATTTTCGTCATCAAGGACTAATTTACAAGACTTTAAGATCTGGAGGGAATCTGAAAGACTGATGTGAAACTATTGAAGATTTAAAAGAGTTGGGGGTTGGTATAGGGTGAATTACAAATTCAAGGATGAAAAAGTAGGGTTTTTTTTTGAGTTTATGGATTCCATAACCTTTGTTTGATTCAAAATAAATTTGAGTCGTGATCTCAATCCCAAACTATTCTTTGAGGTAAGAACTCTCCCCAAATCCAAAAATCTCCTATTGATTTGGAATTTTTGATGCATATTTCTTTATATTACTTTATTTATTGATTTTTGAGCTTTATCTTTCAAAAGGGATGAAAGATGGAATGGCCTTAATGAAGATATCCTACCATATTTTTCTTTTGAGAGAATATCACACACGCTTTTTTATCCTAATGACTTGATTCTATCATTTTTGCCCCAAATCATCTCATCTTAATTTTTACCCCATTATGATTTTTCTGTTTTAATCGCTTGAGTAGTGAAAGAGGTGGGCTTTATCACTTTGAATTTGTTCATATAAGTTGGTTTTTTAGCCCCTAGTTAAATTTCTTCTTGTCGTGTTGAGAATGACATTTGGTTCCTGTCCAGTTTTGTTAACAATTCAACTTGTCTAGGAACGATGAAGTTGTGATTAAGTCCACAATGTGTTTGATTAAATGTGTAAGAGGGATAAAGTTATTTCAAATTCCATGACCTACAAGTTTGATGAGAGATTGACTCGTAGAGAAAGCCATAACGTTGCTTCGAAGATTACAGGTGTTGCTTAAAATGCTTGAAAGAAAATCATGTCGGATTCATTAGTTACAACTTACACTACATACACTTTGTATGCTTGCACTTCAAATATATTCTGAAAGTGATGAGTTTCTATTGAGATTTTTTTCTTTGAGCTTATAAACACCTTTTATGTTGTCCCATTTAAATTATATTAATTATCATAAAATGTAATTAGTAATTATCATAAAATGTAATATTATATTTTTAATAATTATATAATATTTTAAACAAAACAAAATATTCTAATATTTATATTTATGTTAAATTAAATATTATATTTTGAAATATTATATTAAATATATTGTTCCTATATTATATCAATTATTACAATATTTATTATAATATAACATAATATATTAATTAATAACTATTAAATATAGTCATAATTAATTAGTAATTATAATATAACATATTATATTTTAATATAAAGTAAAATAATGCATTATATTACAATATCATACTAAACCAATTTGATCAATTAATTTAGACTTAATTGATAAGTAAATATTATATTTTAATAAGATATTACATCATCAATTATCTCACATCAATTATCAAATCTAAATTTCAAATTGTTCAATTATCCGAACTTGTCACATTTTACTCCATTCAAAATATCCAAATGAATAAAATTATTCCATTTAAACAATTATCTTATTTGACCTCAACTTGTCCCAACCAATAACCCCCCTAAATTGGTTCACTCTAAGGGGGTGTTTGGTTGCATGTTTTTTGAGAAATGTTTTCTCAAAAGTACTGACGCATGGCATTTCTGTAATTAAGAGATTTCTATAGATTTCTATAAACTGTGTTTGGCTCAAAAAAGATTTACAGAAATGTTTTCTATAAAGTATAGAAAAGTACCAAATTTTATAGAAATTGATTTCCTTCAAAAATGGGCGGAAATCTCTTGGAAATCTGACGCATTCATTATTTAAATAATAAAACTCATTAACACATTTCTATAAAGTTCTCACTTTTCTATATAGTTGGGGGTGTTTGGTTACATTTCTATAAATTATAAGAAATGTTGCTATTTTCCCAAAAGCTATGAGTCATTTTCTTGTTTTGAACCAAACAAGTAAAATACAAAAAGTAAGAAAATTTGTACTTTTTAACTTCTCAAAACTTTTCCTATAATTTTTTTAAGAAATACAAGGAAATCAAATTTTGGGTGGAAAACATTTCCTATAATTTATAGAAATGTAACCAAACACCTCCTAAAACTAATTTTCACTGACCAACAAAATAGTCTAAAACGGTACGAGATTCAAACATCACCCGATTTTAAAGAATTACTGAACACACCCTTGCCTTTAGATAAGCCGAACTCAACGTCTGTCCCATTTTTTGACTTTTTCTTCTGGGTGATGTCAGCATATGGTTCTGTTGACGCAACATTGTGACATCACCCCATCACCTATAGCGACCATCCAACTTCCAGATTCCATCATGGGTTCCTCGTTAAAATGAGTGCACGAAACAATTCACCCAAAAGCAATAAGAGTTATTTAGATATTAATCCCACAAATCTTGAATAGTTTCATATCAGTACCTCAAATATCAATAATTGTTTTGTTCCTCCCTAAAATCCTAAGGAGTCTTTACAATTTAGTCCCTTAATGGTCAAAATACGCCTTGGTGATGATTTTTCACTCAAACCCACCTTATCTAGAAAGAACAAATTTTCAATGTAGACTCAAACCAAATTTTAATTCCCAAAATCGACCAATTTTTTTTAATTACTAAAATCGACCAATTTTTTTTAATTACCAAAATCGACCTACTTTATGCCACGTAAGCTTAATCTCATTTCCTAATTAGTCGGGATTACCAACCCCGATTATTTAGGAGATTGTTAAACCACAATTAAAAGTCTTAAACCTAATTTTTAATGTCATAAATGGTCGGGGTTGGCAACCCCAACTAATTAGGAAATATGATTAAGCTTACGTAACATAAAGTGGGTCGATTTTGGTAATTAAAAAAATAGGTCGATTTTGGTAATTAAAAGTTGATTTGAGTCTGTTTTGAAAATTTGTTCTATCTAGAAAAGGGTTATTTTCACTTTGGTACTCTAAAATTCACACCTTTCTAACTAATACGACCAAATTATTTCGATACCCAAAATTTACATCTTTTTAAAAATTGATACCTTAAAGTTTTTTCTGACATTTTTATTATGATAAAATTATACCTTTTCAATGTTCATATCCGAAAGTCTTATTTTTGACACTTTGATAACCAAGCTTTAGGGTAACAAAGTTTAAAAATATATATAAATTTCGAGGTATCAAAGTTAAAAATATGTGGAGCCTTTGGGGCGTGATCATTAAAAAATGTGTAAATCTTAAGGTATCGAAGTGTAAAAAAAAGTTGAGGGGGTATCAAAGTAAAGAAAAAGTCTAAACTTTAGGTATTAAGGTGTTAAAAAAAACTTTGTGGTGCCCAAACGAAAAAAGATGTAAACTGTAGAGCGTTAAATTACGAATAAACCTTCCAAAAAATATTAGCTGAGGGTATTTTGGTCAATAAGGAACCAAATTGCAATAATCTAAAGTATTTAGGGGACCGAGGAGCAATTTCTTATATGAAATTATAGAAGATGGAAGGAGCTAACATACCTAAACAACCCCAGCAATAATTGAAAACAGCTACTAATTAATATACCTAAACAACCCAAGCAATAATTGAAAACAGCTACTAATATACCTAAATAACCCAAGCAATAATTGTAAACAGCTACTTTACTTTTCTGATCACCTAATAAGTTTCAAACTTTGTTCCTTGCTCGATCTGAAGATCAAAGAGGGAGATGGGAGGAGCAAGAAAGTTACTGTTAGCAGACACCCTCTCATCAGAGAGCCCACTCAACTTCCTCCATGAAAAACTCCAGCAGTTCCTCCACTTCCTGGCCCACATCCTCAACCAAGTCCTTCCACCAGAGACCAGAGCCCAGACCCTCCACCACTGGGCCCACCTGGGCCTCACCGTGATCCTCCCCGTCTCCCTCGTCCTCCTCTGCCTCTACCGCTGCTGCTGCGGCCCCCGCTGCTTCTGCTGCTGCTGCTGCTGCTCGAAGCCTGAAGAGGAACGAGAAGAGTTTGGTTTCGACGCGATAGACTATGACATCATGCGGATGATGAAGGCTCCTGGGAGGAATGGGGCCTTGATGCCGAGAGATTTGTTCGAGGGTAATCCGAGGGAGTACTTCATAGATCTCCGGGCCAAGAAACAGCTGCCAAATTATTATAATTACTAGCTAGGTTTTTGTGAATCTTGGGGTCGATCTTGGGCTTGGTTGAGTGATCAGCGATGATTTAGCTTTTTCTGTTCGAGGCTTAGTTTTTATTATTAAGTAACTCTTTACGCTTTAATATTATGTGTCTGTGTGTTAGTCGGAGAACCATCCAGTACTGTATTTTGTTTGCTCAATCTCATGTTAAATGGAATTACAATGTTAAATCACGAGAGCCTCCTATTATCATGTTTGTTAATTTAATAAAGATCCTTATTTAAGAATTGTTCACCGAAAAATTAACTTCGATCCCTTTTGTTTAGGTCGACTGTGACTGAAACCCCCGGGGTTCGTAGTGTCTGTTCTTCAGATGTTTACTTGAATTTGGTGTTTGCACCTAGGTAGGTCCTTCATACGTTTGCACGTCAGAATAATTTACAGCTTTTTAGGGTTAAATTGAAAAAAGTTAGTGTTCAACGAAAATAATTAGAATCTAAATAGCTTTTATCATTAACCGAGAATTACTATTCTAGCTAGACGTCTTTCAAGACTTTTGTTTCTTTGGAGAACTAAAATCAGTTGCAGAAATTGCTTAATTTATTACAATATATAAGTAATTAAAGAGTACTAAATTAGTATTATATATGAGAATTTGAGGAAACTATACTAACATTTACATAGTATAAGATATAATTTAAAAGCACAAATTTCAAAAGCTCTAGGATTTGTTATCTATTTTCAAACTTGATTTTCGAATAAATCTTAAACTCTAGCTAGTAAAACCAATATGCACTGCTAAAAAACTGGGCATCCTAGACGGAAAAATCCGTCTAGGACACACAGAATTCCGTCTAGGATGTGTATCCTAGACGGAATTCCGTCTAGAATACCCGTCTAGTTTATTTCCGTCTAGGATGTAGTATTCTAGACGGAAATTCCGTCTAGAATACATCCTAGACGGAATATTCTAGACGGAATTCAAAACCGTCTAGAATACATCCTAGACGGATTATTCTAGACGGAATTTCCGTCTAGAATAACGTATTCTAGACGGAAAAAATTTCCGTCTAGAATGAGTATTCTAGACGGAAATTTCCGTCTAGAATACTCATTCTAGACGGAAATTGATTTTTTAATTTTTTTTATTTTAAAAAATGTATTCTAGACGAAATTTTAGCATCCTAGACGGAATTTCCGTCTAGGATACTATGCTACAGTAGTTTTTTTTTTTTTTTGCAGAATCTACTTTGGGTGCATGTACACAATATTGAACAACAAAAAATTATATTCATATCCAACCAATCTAATTATATTCTAATATCAAATCCTATTATATTCAAATAATACATTCACAAAAATACTAGAAAAAAATTGTTTACAAACTTTAACATAAAATAAATTACAATGCTATGACAACTACAAGAGCTTTTCAACTCCTTCCTATAACATTTACTCAAGCCCTCTTCTTCTCCTTCTTCATTCTTCTTCCTCATCACCCTGAGTGTAACATAAGGACCAGCAACAAGAAATATCAGGAAATATCAGGAACCCGAAATGTTCGGTTCATGATATATCTAGTTTAAACAAAGAAAACCAAGGAGAATTCGAGCATCTGTGTATCTAGTTTTAACAAGAAGATGTGTGTGTGTGTATGCATACTAATAGTTTAGAGATCGGGAGAACGACGAACCTTAAAATAAATCTCCAATTCAAATGATGGATTAGTGAATGGAAAGTAAGTGTCAACCCAGCGCGCATTTCCACCTCACCTGTACATGACATACATTAAAGATCTAAGGCCAAGTATAAGTTGCATCTATGCACAGAACCCCACCCAATCATCTGGTGAGAAAAACTCGAACTCCTTCCATCTATTACTTAGACAACCATTAAAATTAAGAAGAAAAAAGAAAGAAAGAAATGCCAGGAACAAAAACTAAAGCAGAATTATTCAAAGACAGCTACAAGAACTAGAGCTGGTGTGGAACCTGATGGAATACAGGATAGTGAGTTGAATCAATTGAATCCCTACGATAGACATCTCCAGTTACGAGAAAATGAGTATGGCCCTTCCTTAATAATTCTGCCTGGTGACATTGTATGGCACCTCAAGACATGTTGGGAATCAACATAATACGTATCATTATAACTCCTGGTTACATGATCAGCAGGAACCAATACATCGTCAAAATTCTGCAAAAAGTAATGCTTTGCATCACTATAATAAAAATGCAGTGGATGAAGTCCATGAAAGAAACTAGGAAAATTCATAACTTGATAAGAAGAGGCAACAAAAGAAATGTTGACAAAGAAAAAAGGACATAAATCACGCTGATTATTGCTCAAGAAGTTATGAGCAAAATAAATGTATGCATAATGTTCACATCCTCATTTATGTAGAGGTGGGGAAGTGATGACAGTTTCAAGACCTTCATGATGTTGCAAAATATAATTTCTTACTCGAGGAACCAAAATCTGAAATGTTTAGATTTTTTGGATGCAATTCAACAATAAATGAAATGTGCAGTGATCAAATCAAAAGTAACAGATTCTGGAAGAATATGTAAAGATCAGTGCATATAAGAGTTGTACTTAAGGATATGATACTCAAGTTTCATAAATTGACTAAATTGTCTAGAAAAGTATCATGATACGTAGCAATAAAGCATACTTGTGCATGATATATCATCTTGAACTCATAATGTCTTCTTGAGTGTCATGTTTCACAGTTTCAGTCTCGTGGCATGAACTTTTGAGTTAGAGAAAGATGCTCTAGAAGGTTTAACATCAATAAGTTGTCTTCTAAAATAATATATTGGACTTAACTATATATATCATAATAGAATAAGACTTAATTGTTAAGGAGGGTCATTAATGAAGATATTAATATATGAAGATCAAGGAAAGTCCAGTCATCTAGCATTTTATTTAAAATAATTGAAGAAGGAAACCATCAGTTGAACTGTAAACTAAAGTTAATTCTACATAATTAGTTAATAGACCACACAGACAAAGATGGATGCATGACGTGGGATTGGAATATGATTTTGGATTGAAGTTAAATGGAAAAACAGAAGAATTGTCAAATTTTACTTGGATAGAAAGTGAATGATTTTCTGCTAAAGGAATTCGATGCACTCTAACTATAATTATGTAAAAACAAACTCAAAAAAGTAAATGAATAGAAGAAACTAAAAAACTAAACAAAAGGGGATTGCCTTAATCTGTAATGTTCATCAAATTCAAATGAATTTTTAAGGATTGAACTAGCAATTACAACTTGAGAACATTTATAGAAAAATGTAATATTTTCTAAAAATCAGGTTGATTAATAATTCATTTGAAGTTCTGATGATGACAGATGGAAAGTTACTAGACAAGAATGTCTTTGTCCGTTATGAAAGTTGGAATACAATAGAACTATGCTCAATCCCCAACTTCCCGAAAATCGAATCCGGAACATTGTTCGTAGGATCGCTCTCCCTCACCACATCTAACCTATCACCATAAAACAATCCAAGATCAAATTTTCAACCTTACCTAAATAACAAAATCCAATTTTTCAAAGTGGGCAAGTGAGAAAATAATACCATCTTTAGCGATCTTGACGCCGCCTACTTCGAGCACGACGGCTATAGGCTGTTGGTACTTTGATTTCTTTGATGGATTGCCGCCGAGAGAAGAGGATGAGAACAGCTTGAATGAGTGGGAGTAGAGAATAGACGAGGGTTTGAGGAGAGAAGAGTGGAGGAGAGAGAAGGCTGACATTGGATAAGCGAAGGAACCGCCGGAACTTGTCGGAGCTCATGTGACGCCGACTCCTGGGAGTTCGGGAAGGGGTCCGGTGAGGTTGAGGAGGGAGAGGGAGAGGAGGGGGAGGCAGTGGAGGGAGGGGTCGGGGTGTGAGGTTGAGGAGGGAGAGGGAGAGGAGGGGGTGGCGGTGGAGGGAGGAGTAGAAGCTCGATCGAGTTGAGGATTTGGGGGGATGAGGCTGATTGTTCCTGAAAATTTCAATTTGGAGTTGAGGATTTGGGGGGAAAGGAGGGCGGCTGGGGGTTTCGATGGGTTTAATTTTTTTTTAAATGACCACTTATTGGAGACGGAAATTTCCGTCTAGGATGTATCCTAGACGGAAATTTTCGTCTAGAATATCTGGTTATTTTAAAAAAAAATAAAAAAATAAAGTAACCGTCTAGGATACTATTCTAGACGGAATATTCCGTCTAGAATATTTTATTCTAGACGGAATATTCTAGACGGAAAATTTCCGTCTAGTTTAATGCATTCTAGACGGAAAAAATTTTTATTCTAGACGGAATATTCTAGACGGAAAATTTCCGTCTAGTTTAATGCATTCTAGACGGAAAAAATTCCGTCTAGAATATTCCGTCTAGAATACGTAATGCATTCTAGACGGAAAAAATTCCGTCTAGAATATTCCGTCTAGAATACGTGATTTTCTACTAGTGATGAGAATCTACATCCATAAGATCTTTGCCTACTATGCTAGAAAAATCTTCATTTGTCTGATGTGGTCTGAACTTACAATCATGAATTAGAATGAGGTTATCATCATTCTATAATATATTATTCTTTCCCAGCTAAATAAACGATCATGTTCGAGAAAGGATTGATCAGATCTACGTTATTCTTTTGATACTATCATGATTCATATCAGATTTCACTTTAAGCCGCAATTCAGTCTTTGACACAACATGTTAAGAGCAATTAAGTAATTAGAAATTAACTGTAATTTAAATAGAAGGTTGAATATCAAATTAATCGAAAACATTTATTTAAATTTATTATTTCTTTTAATTATTTCCTGTGAGACTATAAGATTAGGGGTGTCTATTTGGGCCCAAGGCCCAGGCCCATTCCGATTTTCGGACCGGACTCGGGCCGCGCCAAGCCTGCTGGCCCGGAAATCCGGGTCGAATCGGGCTCTGCGCCGAGCGCTTCGGGGCCGCCCTCGCCGGTGCCCCACCGACCCGTCCCAGCCAACAAAAGGGATCGGGCCTAGGGGTAGCCTGGGTCCAGGCCCGGAACTCGGTGCGAAAATGGCGCGCGGCGGAATGGCCCCACCCAGTGGTCCAACGGTCACGAATTGGTCACATTCGTGACCGTTTGGCCAGGCTAACCGGCGTTCGAACGACCATAACGATCCAAGTTTTTTCTTTTGACCCCCCCCCAATAACGAGCTGTCAAAAAAAGCTAAAATTTGATGGTA